TTGACCACTTATGTAATTGTATGGTCTTTGACACTTACCAGTCATATAAATTGCAATATTCTTTCTCTTTAAACAAATGTTTGGACAGCCCTGGTGATTTTTAGAGTGCTAAAATATTCTGATATCTGTTGATTTGAAAAATAATTCACATTCTATATTATGTACAGGTACAGGTTTTACCAAAATTAAGGATTTTCTCAGCAAAAATTGTGGTTTCCATGGCAACCACGAGTGACAGACCATTGAAAGTTTGCATACTACCTTAAAATGATCTCATCAACTCTCAATAAAATCATTATGATGATTGAAGACTAACTGAATGAATTATTCAATGATGTTAATGTAATCCCTGTAATTTTCCTTTTTAGGGTCAAAAACCCAATTTTGACAACTTTCGCCCCGGATATGGCGCGTCAGACAAAAAATTTCTGAAGTATCACATAAAAATACATAAGAAACAAGTAATTTCTATTTGTTCAGAAGCGGGTACATTTTTCGGTGCTACCTCACTAACTAATTTAGTAGCTTTATAAATAATTTCAGATGTACTTTGTTGTAAAAGCCTACTTTATTGTTAACAGTAGTTATATGTGATAATTTTGTAAAAAGAAATCAGCAAAAACTCAGAAGGACTTTTTTATTGTCGGCCATTTTGGATTTTTTGGTCCAAAAATCTTGTCTGTGAAGTCTTGTCTGCGCGTTTGCAGGTGAACCGTTTGGTGGATCAATTTCAAATTTTCAGGAATGATTCTTAGTATAAAAATCTAGATCTCATTAGTTTTTTGGCATTCTGGGTAAATGTCAAGGCAGCCATTTTGGATTTTCCGTCTTAAAGTCTTGCCTCTAAAGTCTTGTCTACGCGTTTTTAGGTGAACTGTTCGATAGATCAATTTCAAATTTTCAGGGATGATTCTTAGCATGAAAATCTACATCTGATTAGTTTTTTTGTATTCTGCGTAAATGTTAAGGCAGCCATTTTGGATTTTCTGTCCTAAAATCTTGTCTGTACAGTCTGGCAAATAAGGATTTTTTCGCTGTAGCCAAATTTGTCCAGAGACATTAAAAACACTCTGGCCAAAAAAATTTCTGTCCTGCCATTATTTTGTCGAGTTAATTTTGTGTTCACCTAATTTTGACTGTAAAAATAAAGGAAAGAATATTCATTATTCTCAAAAGTGGATTTGTTTCCATATCCAGTTTATCATTGTAACCACCTTTAAATATGCGATGGACTGGTTCTTAATGTGCCAGGTATCTATCTTCATAGGATCAACTTCAAATCTAGTGTATTTAATCTCTCTACTTGATAATTAAAAATACCCAGCGAGAACTCTGATAGACGAGGTCACTGTGAACGGCATTGATAGACCTACTGCCCAGTGCGTCTGCGCATCTCAAAAGAAATTAGGGGCCGTCTCAATGTAAGCTCCGTGTGAACTCTTTCTAGTAATACGGAGAGAGATAACTAATCCGGGAACTGATCTTGATAAACCCAGTGGTTGAGCAATCAAGGCAGGGTTTTAGGAGTTAATTTAAGATAAAAAAAAAAAGATCGCTAATGCTATTAGAATGCAGTATGACCTTATGTCTTGTTCGAACTGAGTTTTGTTTTGTTGCATTTTTGATTCACCCCCTAGCCACGTGCTTCGCCAGATAAACAAATAAAGGGATCGTAGCATTGATGTAAAGATGGTTTTGATTGGTAGACATCGCTTCATTCTTAGTATTTCGGCCAATTAGAGCAGCGGTTCTATAATTTGGTTTCGTGTGTAAAAAGGAATATTTTAATTCGTATTGGTTCGCTAATATTTTGATAGATCTAGACATTGTTTTGCGATGATTTTTTGTGAGAAGACCAAGCAAATGTCGGGGATAAAACCTGTGAAGTTAGATTACATCCATTGCCAAAATTGTCGAGGTAGATCGCAACATCTATCGCCAAATTTTTTTCACTCCCTGTTTTTGTCGTTTGGCGACCTCTTATTTGCCACACTGCTGTAAAGTCTTGTCTACCCGTTTTCAGGTGAACCGTTTGGTAGATCAATTTCATATTTTCAGGAATGATTCTTAGTATGAAAATCTACAAACAGATTAGTTTTTTGACATTCTGGGTAAATGTCAAGGCAGCCATTTTGGATTTTCCATCCTGAAATCTTGTCTGTAAAGTCTTGTTTACATGTGTTCTGGTTAACTGTGTGACGGATCAATTTCAAATTTTCAGGGGTGGTTCTTAGTATGAAAATCTCTTGGTCTAGAATGAAATAGGAATTCTTATGTGAGATATACATTATAAGTCTATCTTTGGAGATGAACATCATGAAACACCCTGTACAAATACTTGTGAGAGAGCTTATTATGCACCAAAAGGCTCACTCCAGGAATCACTAGCACAGATTAGATTGATTAGTATATCAAAATGGTAGTTGAAGTGTTTGATTGGATATACCTTTTATATTCATATTATTAATTATCCCATCGAACAAAGTTCGGAGGGATATAGGGAACGCCTCCTTCCGACCGTCCGTCCGTTCGTACGTATGTCTGTACGTACGTACGTCCGTATGTATGTACGTCCGGGCGATAACTCAAATACTGTTGGCCCGATTTTGTTCATATTTTGTACACATATACCCTATGGGGGTAGAAGTTCTGCTCGAAAGCTGATTTTCAAAATGGCCGCCATTTTAGTGCCAATTTATCAGTAATTTAGGTACTGCATATAAAACTGTAATTATAGCAATATGTTTTAAATGTATAAAAGTTATATAGGACATTGTTTAAGCTAGAATGTAAAAGAAGAAGAAATACATGGCAGCCATCTTGAAAAATGGCTACCTTTGCACGTCATTTTACATTTTTTACTGTAAGTCAAAAAGTAGTGGATCGATTTTTTCATATTTTAATATGTGAATACTTAAAGCATGGGCCAATGTCTAATGACATTTTGGGTAGTAGGCGGGCCATATTTACACATGTGTTATTTTACATTTTTTACTATAACTTGAAAAGTAGTGGAGCGATTTTGTTCATATTTGATATGTGAATACTGATGAGCCTTGCACACTGTCTCATGACACTTCGAGTAGTAGGTGGCCATTTTAAAAAATGGCTGTCATTTTTACATTTTTACTAAAACTCAAAGTATTGGAGCGATTTTGTTCATATTGGATATATCAGCGGTGGCGGTTAAGGCATATATTTTTGTGAGTCATCATGACTCAGGTAGTTTCAAAAAAGTGAGTCACAAGAAAAAAACTTGAGTCAAAGCTATAAAAGTGTTTTTCTTGAGTAAAAATGCATACAAAATGTAGAAACCACATACAAAATCTATTTTTTGATTTTGTGCATACCTTTTATTGTACTCTTTTAGCACATAACAACTAACAATTAATTAATTAGGCAATTGCAAGAAAAATGTCACTATTAATCATCTGATTATCTGGTCCAGCGAGTCATGGGTGTGAATGGAGTGGGAGAGGAGTTTCTCCCTGTGTGGAGTTACACAAATTGGGGTCAAAGCGTTTCATGTTGAAATTCAACATTTTTGCAATCATTCCAAAGTCTAAAACGGCAATATAAGACCGACCACAATACTGGGCATCATTTAAATTGAATACGGTAATTATAGCTGATCAAATGAAACCGAAAGTAGATTTGTTCTCATACCTAATTTATCATCATTATTACCCCCCTTAATGTGCGATCGACTGGATTTTCATGTGCCCATTACCTATCTTCATAGGATCAGCTTCAGATCTAGTGAATCGAAGATCTTAACTTGAGGGAGTTAATTGAAAATACTTGGTGAAAACTTACGATAGATCGGTCACTGTGAGCATCATTGATAAACCTACTGCGCATTACATCTGCGCATGCTGATGAAGGGGATGGCTCAAGGAAACTTGCTAACTTAACGAAGGAATTTTGCGAACTTGCGAAGGAAACTAAAGGTTCGTAAATCTAGTGTGTGAACATTCAAGGGAAGATTTTATACGGTAATTTAGATAAATATACGATCACTAAAATCCTTAGAAGGGAGTATGAAATTAATAAATTATTGTTCAATGTTATGTTCGTTTTATTGCATTTTTGATACGCCCCCTAGAGCAACGTGCTTCACGAGATAAACGAATCGAGGGATCGATCAATGTTTTCAAGTTTATCATTGAATCTGAACACAGGGCTTTAAAAATTATATGAAATACCGAAATGAGAAAATGATCGGTAGAGGAAGGAGGCTCGATTGCGCTGAACGAAATGTTAGATTTCCGGAATTAGCAAAATTAAAAATTTGATCAATCACGTATTTTCACGTATAGGGATCAATTTAACCAAGTACCAAGCGGGGATTTTGCATGTGAAACAAACGTGCGTCAGAAAGACTCTGTAGACAATGAATATTTGCGTCAGATTTGCAAAAATGTGAGTAAAAAAACGTAAAAAATTGCGTTAACGCCACCTCTGATATATGAATACTTTAAGCATGGCACATTGTCTAATAAAATGTTGGGGAGTAGTCGGCCATTTGGAAAAATGGCCACCATTTTTATGTGTGTTATTTTATAATTTTTATTATAATTCAAAAAGTAATAGAGCATGTTCATATTTGATATGTGAATACTCGTAAGGATTGTATACTGTCTAATGACATTTTGGGTAGTAGGTGGCTATTTTACAAATTTGGCCAGCATTTATGTGTGTGCGATTTTTGGCTCACACGGTGAGCCTATGGGATCGACCAGGCGTCCGTCCGTTGGTCCGTCCGTCCGTTGGTCCGTCCGTCTGTCAACATTGGCCGCACAAATTAAAACTGCTATTTGGATTGAGTCATATCCACATTCATTTTATGTATATCCATAATGCCTATTTGACATATCATCGCCATTTCCCAAGTTTACCCGGTTTCCGAGAAATTGCGGATTTTGACATCAAAAAGTCAAAGTCATTTTATAATCTCAATTTATGTAGTGGTTATAATGATTTCATTTTATTCCTTTCAGGATATCGAGTATCCGATACTATACGTAAAGGCATCATTGATGTAGAACTGTATCGTAACCAAACAGAACTGCTGATGGTGGGCCAGGTGTCAGCACTAACAGGTACAGCAGCATTACTTTTCTCATGATTTTGTATAGATGATTTTGTTCTTTTTTGTGCAACATTTAACAGTTTTGTTCTTTTTGTGCAACATTCTACAATTTTGTAACTTTTTGTGCAACATTTTACAATTTTATACTATTTTGTAATTTTTTGTTCATCTAACATTTCTGTGATTTTTGTGCTCACAATGTTAAAACCAGTGCTGTAGTATTTTTTCGATTTTTTGTCCCTCAAATTTTTACGTCAGTTACGTCCTTATAACAAAATGGATTTACTTCCATCAGAGGAAATTGTTATTTTCATCATTTTTACCAAGAAAGAGATTGATTTGTATGCAAATATTTTATCTGTACATGTTAAAAGTAACATCTGGTTGCTGAAAGTTAGACAGTCATGAGCAAGTATATCTTGTATAATATGTTGTTTAGTTAGATTCTTAGCTCATTTTAGCGATCATTACTGTATGCTCGGCTAAGTTTTTACCAGATAGTTTTTATGTCACCACCAAAAGTGGTGACATATTGTTATGGTCTCCGTTTTTTTTATGTCACCACCAAAAGTGGTGACATATTGTTATGGTCTCCGTTTTTTTGCGACGGCGGTTGGTGGTTGGCGTCCGGCGTCTGGCGTCCGGCGTCTGTAACAATTTCTTATAACTTCCTATAACTTAACAAATACTGTTTAGAATGACTTCAATTTTTTTCTAAATCATCTACATGCTCTCAGAAGTTCAAATCTGACTTTAGATTTGACATTTGACCTTCAATGACCTTCTCAAGGTCAAAAAGGTCTTTTTTCAACTTGCTTCACATTGACTAAATTTTTTTTCAAAATCATCTACATGTTCTCAGAAATTCAAATCTGACTTTAGATTTGACTTTAGATTTGACATTTGACCTTCAAATCTGACTTTAGATTTGACATTTGACCTTCAATGACCTTCTCAAGGTCAAAAAAGGTCAAAAAGGTCTGTTTTCAACTTGTTTCAAATTGACTAAATTTTTTTTTCAAAATCATCTACGTGTTCTCAGAAATTCAAATCTGACTTAAGATTTGACTTAAGATTTGACATTTGACCTTCAATGACCTTCTCAATGTCAAAAAAGGTCAAAAAGGTCTATTTTCAACTTGCTTCAAATTGAATAAAAAAAATTTTCAAAATCATCTACATGTTCTCAGAAATTCAAATCTGACTTTAGATTTGACTTAAGATTTGACATTTGACCTTCAATGACCTTCTCAAAGTCAAAAAAGGTCAAAAAGGTCTTTTTTCAACTTGCTTCAAATTGACTAAATTTTTTTTTCAAAATCATCTACATGTTCTCAGAAATTAAAATCTGACTTTAGATTTGACATTTGACCTTCAATGACCTTCTCAATGTCAAAAAAGGTCAAAAAGGTATTTTTTCATCTTGCTTCAAATTGACTAAATTTTTTTTTCAAAATCATCTACATGTTCTCAGAAATTCAAATCTGACTTTAGATTTGACATTTGACCTTTAATGACCTTTTCAAGGTCAAAAAAGGTATGTTTTCAACTTGCTTCAAATTGACCTAATTTTTTTTTCAAAATCATCTACATCTTTTCAGAAGTTCAAATTTGACTTTACAAGTTCTCAGAAGTTCAAATCTGACTTTAGATTTGACCTTTGACCTTCAATGACCTTCTCAAGGTCAAAAAGGTCTTTTTCAACTTGCTTCAAATAGACTAATTTTTTTTCAAAATCATCCACATGTTCTCAGAAGTTCTTCTTAGGTCAAAAGATATTTTCCAACTTGCTTTAAATTGACCAAATTGTTTTAGGTGGTGACATTTTGTCATGTTAATGCCTTGTTGATTGAGATTGTTTTTAATTGAAAAAATATGAGATGACTGCACCAAATACAAGGCTTTCTTATGGCCTCGAGGTGTTTATAAACAGCCTTTTATTGTGATCAAACCAGAGAAATTGCTGCTAAAAGTTCCTCAAGTTTTGGGAACATTTGGTAAGTTGAATTCGAGTTGGATTTTTCTGACGAGTTACACCTCTAGTATCTATATCACAGTATTTTGATTGTAAACTGTAAATTAATTTTGTGAATCTATGAATATTTTAGGTTCCTGTGTTTGGCTGATAGCTGCAACAGTACTCCGTCTTCCAGTGTCAGGTACACATAGTATAGTAGGCGCCACTATCGGATTTGCACTTGTTGCCAAGGGGGCATCTGGTGTCAACTGGGCAAGACTTGGATTGATCAGTAAGTGCTTATATAGTGTAATATTTCTAGCTCACATGGTGAGCAATTGCAATCACTCACTTTGTCTGTCTGTCTGTCTGTCTGTCTGTCTGTCTGTCTGTCTGTCTGTCTGTCTGTCTGTCTGTCTGTCTGTCTGTCTGTCTGTCTGTCTGTCTGTCTGTCTGTCTGTCTGTCTGTCTGTCTGTCTGTCTGTCTGTCTGTCTGTCTGTCTGTCTGTCTGTCTGTCTGTCTGTCTGTCTGTCTGTCTGTCTGTCTGTCTGTCTGTCTGTCTGTCTGTCTGTCTGTCTGTCTGTCTGTCTGTCTGTCTGTCTGTCTGTCTGTCTGTCTGTCTGTCTGATGGTCAACAATTGTGGCATGTTTAAAAACCTCTGTCAATAGGATTCCCCTTTTAAATTATTTTTGTTCAACATCAATACAGAAACCCCCTATGCCTCCTAGTTAAAAAAAACATTTTTGTCTCGCGAAATTTTTGGACCATTTGGTACTTTTATAAACAATTTCAGGTGTCTTGCTTTATAAAAACCACATCACTGTAAACAGTAGTTTCATGAAATAATTCTGTTACAAAAAATTGGCAAAAAAATTATATCCAATTTTATGTCACCACCAAAAAGTGCATCCTCCGAACACAGGGCTTCAAAATACAGAATATCTTCTTTCTTTTTACACCCTGCTATAAGCAGTTAGCATTTCCCCGATTAAGAACTCGCAATGTGATTGGCTGTCGCAACACTGCGACAGAAATCATGTATAAGTCATTGCGCCTAATTAGATCACATGATTCAGTTTAATCGGGCGCTTCCAAATTGGTTATAGCAGGGGGAAGAAGGAGGTACGGATTCTGGTTACCTGCTTAGGAGGATGCAAAAAGTGGTGATATATTGTTATGGTCTCTTTTTTGAGGCAGCAGGTGGTGGTTGGCGTCTGTAACAAATTCTAACAACTTCCAATAACTTAACAAAAAGTGATAAAACTGACTTCAATTTTTTTCAAAATCATGTACAAGTATTCAGAAGTTCAAATCTGACTTTATATTTAAGATTTGACCTGCAATGACCTTCTCAAGGTAAAAAAGCTCAAATTGACCTTTTTTCAAAATCATCTACAAGTTATCAGAAGTTCAAATCTGACTTTAGATCTGAGCTTCAATGACCTTCTCAAGGTAAAAAAGGGTCAAAAAGGTCTTTTTGGCTCACACAGTGAGCCTATGGGATTGACCAGGTATCTGTCCATCCGACCGTCAACATTGGCCTCACAAATTAAAACTGCTATTCAGATTGAGTCATATCCACATTCATTTTATGCATATCCAGTGTTTTCAGTAGGTTTGTCCAAGATTGCGTCCCTGGGACGTAACGATTTTCAAAAAATGCGTCACCCCTCAAAAAAATGTTCCCGGGAATTCAAAGTCACGCTTTTACACTGACCGAAATAAAATTGATGAAATTTTGAATCGCTTTTGCTATTTGTCGGTCTAAATCAGTGTTCTTGCGAGTCAAGTATGTCATTGAATGATACAGATACCATCACTTGTGAGGTATAACTTATATTCAACCATTAGAAACACATTTTCTTTGCGTATTTCAAAGCAATTAGCGACTGATTTTGCTTTAGATAAGTGGCAATCTGCGCGAGGTTCAATTTTTTGGTTCAGCTTCTTGCGCATGCGCATTCTTAAATAATGATCTTTTGATCACACTTGACCAATAGAAAATGATTTAAATCGGGTTCTCAGCTCGCAGCCAATCGTAAGACTCGTACTGATTACTGCTCCGATATCGAGTATTGGATAACTATTTGTCCTATCACATGCCTCGTACTATTTCGATCAGAAATCAACTTCCGGGAAGGAAACTTCGAAAGAAAATTTTATTTGACTGAAGGTAAGTGGATTCACGAAGTGATTTACGAAATTCAAATTGCTTCCCAAAAACGTAATTATGTTTTTAATTTACGTCCACCCAATCTTGATTTACGTCCTCTCCATTGAAGAACGCCGTTAATGAAACCTCTGCATATCCATGATGCCTATTTGACCTTTCATCGCCATTTCCCAAGTTCGCCCGGTTTCCGAGAATTTGCTGATTTTGACGTCAAAAAGTCAAATTTTCTGTAAATACTACACTTTGTTGAAATAGAACTTTCAAATAACTTGTAGTAGTTGCTGTATATGGAACTTATGTCCTCTGAAGATTTCAAAGCCCTTGGAATTAAAGTTTTTGGTGTTGACAAAAAGTAGGACTTTTCAGGAAATTTTCTCATGTATAAAGGTTTTCTGATTGACAAGTTTCTCAAAGTTTGCCTTATACTTATCATTTCTTGCAATAAATTACATCATTACTAGCTTTAAGCATTCCCTACATATTGCTCAATATATGTCAGCATCAAATTTTTACAGTTTTTGAGATATTTGACGTCAAAAAACAGTAAAAATAAGTTATTTTCAATTTGACCTTTTTGAAAATCATCTACAAGTTGCCAGGAGTTCAAATCTGACATTAGTTTTAGGATTTGACCTTTACTTGACCTTCAGTGACTTTCGAAAGGTAAAAAAAGTTGATTTTTGGATGTAAATTTTGGTCAGCTTAATCACAAAAGACTTTACTGAGCTCTGAATAAGTAAAATTTTCAAGGTCAAAGGTCATCAAACTAGGTCACACAACTGTGCTATCTAAGTTTCTCGAAGTTCGAGACTACAAATCCAAATCAATATTTTTGTTTGCAAGTCAGGATATATATTCCTATGAAGGTTCCAAACTGTGTGAGCACAGGACCGTGGGTCCTTTATTTCACCTTGCTTCAAATTGATCAATTTTTCTTTTCAAAATCATCTACATGTTCTCAGAAGTTCAAATCTGACTTGAAATTAGTGAGTTCACCTTCAATGACCTTCTCAGGGTCAAAAAAGGTCTTTTTCAACTTGCTTCAAATTGACCAATTTATTTTTTCAAATTCATCTACAAGTTCTCAGCAATTCAATTCTGACTTAAGATTGAACTCTTAATATTAGGAGCAACTAGCTAGGTGGTGACATTTTGTCATGTTATTGCCTTGTTTCTAATTTCCTTTAGTATTCCCAACAATTCCGTCACTCTATGTCTCAATGAAAATTATAGCAATTTTGAGAAATTATCTCCAAAATAGGGCAAATTTCATAGTATCAAAATTGGTATGTACAGTAATAGGAAATTGAGATCTGACTTACAGTTGACCTTCTATGACCTTTTAAAGTAGAAAAAAATCAAATTTTTAAAATCTTTATTTTGAATTTAAAATAAGTTAAAACAATATGAAAGGACATTAAAAAGTCCATATATGGCAAAGAGGGTTGGAATTTGTGTGGTTGATTGACATGGGCTGCTATACAAATATGAACAACTTTCTTGTCTGTAGTTAAACGTGAACTGTTTAAATAAATATTTGCACCAAATGCTTCTGAACTTACTTTACACTGTAACACAGATATTTATCCCACCGAACGAAGTTCGAGGGGGATATAGAGAAGCCGTCCATTCGTCCGTCCGTAGCTATGTTCGACAAAATTTTTTCAAGATGGCCGCTTAATTTCAAAATGGTGGCAATTTTTCGTAAAAAAAGTAATCTTTGATAACTCAAATACCAGTGAACAGATTTGGTTGAAATTTTATATGATTATGCCTAGGGACACAGTAGCTCTGTTCAAGAAATAATTTTCAAGATGGCAGCTGAATTTCAAGATGGCGGCCAATTTTCCTAAAAAACGTAATCTTTGATAACTCATATACCAGTGAATGGATTTGGTTCAAATTTTATATGATGATGCCTAGTTCACAATGGTATAAACTAACTTTGTGCCAAATGTCATGCTTCTATCACAAAGTACACAAACATTTCAACATTTATACTAGCTATAATAAGCATAATATGTTTTGTTTGGTGGGATTTGCTACTCCAAGGAGTTGCTGTTTTTCTAGTTCGTATTCTTTTCATAAAGATAAATTTGTAAATTGTGATTTATTTAGCTATTACCAGTGATTGACGATACAATCAATTCTCTAAATAAAATACGAACATCAACACTTAAATCTTCCGTACTTTTCACGTATCAAAACATCGATGGCAGTTAAGTGATTTTATTGCATATATCCATGTATTTAAATATTAAGTAAACTAAACTCCACGTTTACCAAAAAACATAGAACACAACTACCAAATTAACTTTCAAATAGTAATGGCCTTGTGGGCGAGTATGACATTTATTCATCAGTCCATTTACATCAAGCAACTATACATCCCGTTCCATATCACAAATCTCAACATCTGAATGTTACTCTGAGCAACATTTTTTGCTGACCGACAGCATCGTACATGAACAATGTCAATATCAAATTCTGTAATATTCGCTTTGCTCGGCAGTCAGGCTGGCCGACAGCGTTAAACTCTAAATCTGTAAATCATAATAATCATATCTGAGCAATACGTAAAGGCGTAGTAGCCTAGCTGACCGACAGCGTTACACTCTATGAAAACTTGTGAATCTCGATATTTGCTCTGAGCAACAAGTAAAGGCGTAGTAGCCAAGCTGACAGACAGCGTTAGTGTACTTTTTCAAATCAGTTCTAACATAATATCTAAATGTTTTTTATTTACTGTGTAAATACCCTTAATAACAGGCGAGGCAGCCTTACATTTACTCTAAAATGATTGGTAAGCTATTATCATTCCTGAACTTACGGTAAGCTCGTAACATGCAATTAATATTAATAAAACAAATGTTATTCTTACATGAAGTAAACGAGGTGAAATCGAAAATCTCTCAACTTCCGGTGACCCAACCTTAACCCCCTTTTTAAGGAGGGAGGAGGTACTCGACTTAAAGTCGGCCCCGTGATCCGAAATGAAGCAGAGTTACATACGAGGACTTCGATAAATGATACACCTGTTCTTAACAATGCAATGTTTGGTATTTTGAAAAATTTAACAAATATGAAATATCTTAAAAACATTTGCCTGTGTAACCT